GCTATTGCTGAAGGTTCCTATTCAAGAAAATAGAAGTTTCAATGCTTCATACTATAATTTAAAAACAAAATATGAAACAGTGCCACGATTTTGGTTATATTATGCAAAGTTATTGGATTCAGTATATTACAAGCTGTGCTGGTTATTTTCTAATCAAACAAATCAATGGTGTTCTGGATTTCGGGATTGGAAAAATTTGTCAGGAAAAATTAAAATACATACATCTATAAGAATTAGTAGCCTAATTTCAATCAAATCAGATGGTGAACAGCGTCCGCTCCGGAAAAGTATGTGTGTAAAGTTTCATTCGAAGAGTTAAAAAGCTGAGAGAGTAGTTTGAACTGAAAAAGTATATAGGTATATACATACATATAATGATATATACTTTATGGTATTTTCGACGTTTCCTTTAATGCATTATGAAAATCTTGACAAGCTTAATATACCCTTTTTACACTTTTTGTGTAAAGGGTGTAAAAAGATGTTAGTAGGAGTGCCTTAGTTAGAATTTGCTTATGGGCCTAAAAAATGTAGTTACGCCACTGATACATGAACATATTTTTATATATCATGAATTTCGCTTTCGTTAATTTTAAATTAATTATTGAATAGAAAAACTTTTCGAAAAATATGTAATCTTTTTTGCAACTTGTGTTAATGGTAAATGAAAATAGTTCGATGCAATTAACATTAACATTTAAATATAATTTTTATTTGTTTTCCTTTTTTTAAATTTATAATTGAGTTATTATTTTTTTAATTGGATTATTATTTTAACTTGCACTTTCAGTTTCTTCGAGTAAACAGAGCAAGCAAAAAACTAAATCACCATGGATGCCATCAAGAAGAAAATGCAAGCGATGAAAATCGACAAAGATGGAGCTTTAGAGCGCGCTCTCGTCTGTGAACAAGAAGCACGTGATGCTAACACTCGCGCCGAAAAGGTAAAAAATTAATTAATAATGTAAAATAGTCGATTGTTAATGTTAAACAAACGATTTAATAATAAAAGCGAAATAAATTAGTTTTTTATGCAATACTAATTTTATATATACCCACTTCATATCTTTATGAATACCAATTGAATTCAATTCCACATATTATTTACTATTTTTCTTACAAAGGCCGAAGAAGAAGCTCGCCAACTTCAAAAGAAAATCCAAACAGTTGAAAACGAGTTGGATCAGACACAAGAAGCCCTCACTCTTGTCACAGGCAAATTGGAAGAAAAGAACAAAGCTTTGCAAAATGTAAGTTAAATGTTCCATTTTATTATATAGAGTTTAATATATAATAATGTGTTAAAGTTTATTGATAGAAAGTCAATTGGATATAATAAAAATACTTGTAGATTAGATGACGAGTGAACGTAGGACTCTTTAATAGTTTTCAACAAAATCATTTGCAAAGAAAATTTTTTTTTCTTTTATTTCTTACACTGATTTAATCACCTAACTTTAGAAAAAATTATTCTTCTAGCTCTAATCAAGTCTATTATATATATTATATATAAGTCTATTATATATTATATATATTATATACTCTATATTAGTTTGTTTCATTATATCCCAACAAGAATTTGTTTTCCACATGCTGAGATTCATATAGAAAAATATATAGAAATCTCAACTTTTAATTGTAATATTATAGATCTGCTTTTAATTTTTAATATATGTTTTATTTATGAATTCATTACACATAAAATGAATTTCTTCGAATTTTTATAAAAGAAACAATTCTTAGATTATGCCATAACTATTCAACAGCATAGAATATTTGTCAAATATCATCTTACGAATTTAGTAGGAACATTAATATGTTACTCTATAGTAAACTTATTTTGTCCAATAATATAAACTTTAACACAAAATTGTATTAAAATTTAGGCTATGTACATACGTATTAAACATGATTATATATTAAAGAAATACTCGAAGATATTTAAAGTAATACTAAGAACTTAGAAGAAGGCTATAAAACAAATTTGAAGTATTTATGGAACTTTACAGATATCACAGATATTAAGATACACATTTGTGTATGTAGAATTAGAAAGTATATCATTTATATAAACTTAATAATAAAATATAATTATTTCAGTATTCTGAAAATTTACAAAAAAAAAGTGTATGGTTCATATATTTTGATATTAAAACAAATAAATTATTTTAATAAACCACACATTTTTCAGTAATTGAATTAATAGATTCCCAAAATTTTATTAGTGGGAAATTGATGTTTATTACCTACAAAAAAAAAACAAAAAAAAAAAAAATAAACATGTTAAATATCAGAATTTCGATCAAACTTTTTATCTAAGTCAATAACCAGGGCTCATTTTGCTCTCTTACGCTTACGGTCCATTATAAATCCTATATAATTGGAACCGCACTGTATCCTCTACCAAAATATGAATTTTGAAATATGTACTTTGAGATAACTTTTACTGATTTATAACATATTTTTACATCCATGTTACCAAGATAACACAATTTATTTCATATATATAACAATTGAAAAATTGAGAAATATTAGAAATATTAGAGATATTAGATAACTGTAAAAAATTATATTTTATATTAGATTTTGACATTAATATTACTATTCGTATGATACATTATTAATTATTAATTTTATTTTTCCAAATTTTTCGATTGTTTTAAGAGCAAAAGTAAATTTTGAAAATTTTACATGATTGATTTGATGGCTATTCGCAATTTCTACCTAATCGAGGTACTTTATCATGATTAATTTATATTTTCTTTCTCCATAAAATGTTATGTTTTATCTCCTTTTTAATAGTGAAATATAATATATATATGTATATTGTATTTTGAAAAAATCATTTTTACACATTCACATATTTATAGTATATAATAAATTTCTGATAATTATATACTGAGTTTCTTGTATATATCTATATAAAATGTTATATCTATCTAATATCTATTTAAGCTGCAATTTATAACATTATTTTCGAAATATTTAACCTAAATATCTGCAATGCCAGCAGTAAATTCCACATAAATGATTTCCACGAAAAATCCATTTGTTTCAAAATATTTAAATGTATTATAATCAAAAAATTATATTCTTAATATATTATTCATGACGTTTTCATTGTTGATGTTTGGAAATATATAACATATATTAAAATACATACAAATATCTAGTTTCTATAGACAACCAGCAAATTACAATTGCATACACATAGGTTTTTTAGTTGCGTTACTAACTGTAGAGAACATATAAAGAATCCTAATTTATTTATAAATTTTCGTACATACAAAAAAATGTTTTAAAAAGTTTTCACAACTTTCTACTCATTGCCAAATACGGAGGAGGTGCGAGCAAATTAGACTCATTTAAATATCAAATAACATAAAACTGTACCAATTTTCAGAGAGTGCGAGAGAGCAAAACGCTCTTATTGTCATCCTCAGTGTGCGCATGATTTAAAAGTTTATGTAAATTGAAAACGGTACACAATACGCTCATATGTAATATACATTATTATATAAATCCAATATATGTATATAATATACATAATATAATTTCAATGCACATATGCCTTATAATTTGTTTATTTGCAAATGATTTGAAAATGTGCAAAAATCAATGGTATTTTTTAAAGAATTCGTTGTTACGTATCTCACATGTTAGAAAGTTTTTTGGAAAAAAAACTTCTTAAATTTTAAAAAATCATTATTTTTCAAGGACAGTTTGTATTTTCCGAACTGAAGTGAAATCAATTGTTTGAATAAAAACTAAAGTGAAAATATTTCCGTCAATGTGACAAATATTTAATTATACATACATACATTTGTGTATATTCGTATATAATCAAAGCGAGTGTAAACATTTTTGATGTACATTAGATAAAACAGCAAAGTTTGTAGAGAATTTTTGGCAAAAGCCCCACACTGAAGGGTACACACATTTTTTCTTTAATATTTCTTATTTGCTCCAGTGACAGAAAAATCATGCATGCAACCAGAATAAATATGACTAACGAATAAAATCTTTGTCTATCACATTTTCTCCGTTAAATCCTGACGTAAATAATATTTAAAATGAATGGATATGATATACACAGAGTACACTTGGAAGAAATATGAGAGAGAATTGTGAGCATAAAAGAACCACCCAAAAGTGAGCACAACAAAAGTTCAATGATGACAGCATTTTGTGTGGGTTGCATGGGGATGGATGATCGCAGTCATTCAAGCATTTTGATTTTGTACCGCAGTGAATAGATCTCCTGCATTGAGTGGGAAACTTAAAACATGCTTTGAGAACGTAACATCATTCTTGATCTCATACACATACAAATAAAGAATATACTGCTGCATTTGTAGTAAACTTTAACTAAATTCGAATTCGCGGTTATACTCTTTAAGGTGTGGGGTGGGTAATAGTATTGTTTAAGCACATTGATCATATGGTCTTCAAGAACAAGCAGTTTTACGATATACTGCTCTCTGTCTGATACATCAGTAAAAATTGCAGCAGCGAAAGAAACCTTAACAGAATTAAACTATCAAAAGCACTCACAACAGTAAGGGCAGAACCGGAAAATTAGTATTGGGTTTTAAGACAAAAAAAATTTCACTGACTATTAACTAAGTTTCAACCAGCAGCCGAATGAAATTGAGCACCAAATCGTTAATTCAAGAAAAATAATAAAAATAAAATGTATATATTACAAATAATAAAAAATAAATGAAGAAGTAAATAATATAAAATACAATTACTGCTTATATTTTACAAACGCTTCTGTTGACGTCAAATAATTAATGAGAAAAGAAAAAACTATAAATAAAGTGATATAATTTAAAACATTCGGAATTACAAACGTATGCAACAAACAAATATGCAAAAGATGCAACAAAACTTTCAAGTTTTTATTTATTGATTTAAAAACAAAAAGCAAATAAAAGTTTGTAAATTAATTGCAGTTAGCAAAAAATCTTCTGCATAAATGTTAATAATAATAAAACTTATACATTATTAATATGATTGAGAAAATAACAACGCATGCACAATTAAACACAAACGTATGGCAGAAAGTAATATATAATAAAAAATCAAAAAACATTTCAAACATTAAAACGTTGAATAACGCAGTCGTCGTTAATGGATTACATGCAAATAAAATAAATTCAATTAAACAAAATACTATTGCAGCTGCATGTACTGCTAATGATACAAAATCTAAAGTGGTTACAAGCAAAAGTAATATATCATCTACACTTCCCCCAACGAAGGATCATACAAACCAAAAACAAATTAAAATAGAGTCGACGAAAAAATTAAATTTAAATAAGTCACTTATTTCAAGCACAAGTCAAGCACAAATAGTTGGTAACTCGCATCGCCAACGAAATCTAATAAGACAAATAAAACGTGCTCATCGCCACCTACTGACGAGCGGTGGTAACGACAATAACAATGGCAAGAAACATCAAACAGCAGTGCTGGCAACATTAAAAAGTGAAAAAACCAAATCATCAGTGGTGAATTGTCAAAATACAAACAGCTGGTACTCGGCGAAACTACTAACACAACAACAGCGACTACAGCAGCAAAAGAAAAAATTAAAGCAGCAAAACTTTGAGAAAAATGCCCACAGTGTTGGCAGAAACAAAAGCAAACAAGTGCAAGTGCAAGTGCAAACGACAACAAAGGCAGGATATAAAAAGCAACATAAAGGTAAACAAAGAAAACAACAAGCAAGAGAAATAGAAATAGGAACAACAGTGTGCAGTGAGGATTCAGTGATTTCATCGCGTTGGAACTCAATAGAGGAACAACTAGATTTATTAGATAAACTTTTATATTATTGTGATGACGACGGATATGAACAAAACCAACAGTATTATTGTCAATATAGCAGCGTAGATTACGATAATTTCGACGGCGCTTACTACGACGATTCATACAAGAGTGACTACAGTGAAATGTCGCAAAGTGACACGCAATCAACAATAAGTAGCACGAGTGGTGCTGGTTCTGCTTCAAGTACACCATCGCCATTGGTACCTACATCGCTAAGACGTAGAGGCCATCAGAATCACCCACGTTTTCAAGGTACACGCAGACCAACTGTGCCCAATGTAAAAGAAATCTTAGAAGCCTTGTATCGAGGCGACTCACAAGGTGTGCTCTCTAATATACGTGCACAGCAACAGCAACAGCAGCAAGACGGTAGTGAGACAGATACGATATCCACCCTAGATGAAACGGGTTCACAAGAACTTGAATTAGAATCTTGTACAAAATCAAACTTAAGCTTGCCACTTACAGAGTCCATAACAAACTCTATCTGCAGCAATAGTCCCACGCCAACTGATGATAGTAGCATGCTAGATGAAGGCGTAGTTACAGCTCAATTGCCTACAACAAATAGCAATACTCCTATATTGAAATCAGGTAGAACAAAAGTTAAACGTGAAAAAGGCGAAAAGGGCGAAAGAGGCGAAAAAGTAGATAGGTCAGAAAAAAAGAAGAAATCAAGAAGAGATAAAAATAAACGTGCCTCCGCTTGCCCGAGTGATGACACCGGTAAAGATTATTTGACTAACCCTGATGAAGGCATTGCGAATGATGAAGATGACCAATCAGCTGAGTGGGCCAAGCTACGTTGCACAAGTGAAGCTGCTGAAATTGTAGCAGAACGTGAAATACGACGCAATAAACGTTGTGCTGATTATCCCGGCTTGGCTTTCGGCCGTTCCATATTCAGTTCAGATACAATGATGAAATTTAACATAATTCGTAATGAATTGCATAATATAATGAAAACACAGCTTAAACGGGTAACTAAATATCTAACAAATATTTTTGCATTAATAATTTTAAATTCTTTTTCATAGTATTTGTGTTCTAATATATATGCAAACATTTTTCTTAAAGATATTTTGTGAAGAGAATCTATATATATAAAAATCGATTGGCTACAAGCATTAGATGATAATTTAGCCTAGGAAATACAGTTGTAGTTAGTTTCTGGTGTTCTTCGTAGAGCTTTTAATATTTAGAAAAGAAAGCGCTTCTGTAACAAAACCGCTGCTGCAGTTCTGCTGTTCCTTTAATGCTTACGTTTCCATATTTCCATTTCACTGAGGAATGGAGTAAGTGTCTTTCGCGCATGTAAACCTTTAAGGTATTCGCTATGTTTATTCCAGTTTTCTATCATCGTCATCCTAACATAATTGTTCGATTAATCATACTCAGATAACGCATGTTATTAGACATTTTATGTATACAGATGCGATATAGTTTTATTTTGCCTCTAATACATTACTTTTAAAGTTTACTCTCAATTAAGTGCTAAGATTCTGATTTATTTTAATTAATTCTGTGTCAATCTTAAAATACACAAATGAATGACATAACCTTCCTAGATAGCGTTTTATGCACTCCCCAGTTCCTTTTCGTTTTTCTTTAAAATTGAGAGCACTAAATTTAGTTTCTGCAAATATTGTCTATTTTATTTTTTATTTAGCTTTGTGTCTAATGGTATAATATTTAAAAAAATGCGATAACAAACAATGTTGTGAATTATGAAGTAAAATATTGTACATTTCTTATTCTTATTCTTAACACTAATAATTAGTGTGCGCTATAAATTATTTTGGTATACTTAGTTAGTGATAAATGTAGGGTATTACACTTATACTAATATTAGTATATTAGGATATAACAAAAAATTTTTGATCACAAGTAATGTCTTTTTAACACTATATGAATGGGTTTAGAAAGTAATTGGTCTTTCAGCAGGAAAAACATATTTTTCTCTTGGAATCATTAGGTCAGCTCTCATAAATTCAAATATTATATAAAATAATTACGAGTTTGCAAAAAATACAAACCAACACTTATATTACGAAGTTATGAAGCTTCTTGTTTCATCTTTAAAGAGTGATTTTAGCAGAGAGGTCTGTGGTATATCATTCGATGATATAGTTTTTTTCTGTATCTTTTGGGGTAGTTAAGGGTGCTGGAAAAATAAATTTTATATCGGTTAGTAAATAAAAAAGAAAATATAGATAAGTGCAATAAGACATCTTTTTTATGTGTGCATATATTTATGAATAAATATTCAATTTATACACACTGAACATGGCTTAAAGGTTAAAAAAGAAATTTGTGAATCGTGATGGTATATTACATTTAATTTGACAATAACGTGTGCTTCTACTTGTTGCTACTTTATTCTTAAATTCATAATTTTCAATTCATAAAATTAAATCTTATAAAGCTACAAATAAGAATTTTATAACTACGCATACTTTAACCATAATAATGACAGCTTCTAGTTGTTATGGATTGTTATGGCCTTGTTATGGCTTGGGTGGTTATCAGTGGAAACATCAAAATATTGAACAGATTTGAAATATAATACAGACGCAAGTTTAAGATGTTTATTCGAAGTTTTTATCGTATAGACTACTAATATAATATGTCACATAAAACTAGTTATACTCCATTCGGTAGGCATAAAATTTTCGTTGGGTTGATAAGTATATTGGAACCATTCATAGAACTATAAATAAAAACCTATATGTAACTGAAAGTTTCTGATTATACTGCATAAAAATCTTTTTATTAATGATTTAATTCATAATTAGTTTTGAAACTAAAAATTTTATAATTAAATATTTTTAGATATTCGATTAGATATTTTGATATTATTGTAGAATTATAACTTTCATACATATGAAAATTATTAGGACGGTGTTATTTGCTCCTAACTACTTTGAGACGGTGTCTTTAGGTCCTACATACTACTAGGAATTGCACAGCATCTCATACCAATTATATCGAATACTTCAGTTAGGTTCAACTCTGGCTTAAAAGATCTGCTATGGTCGCAGTGATAAATCGCACCACTGGATGCTTATCACATTGTTCTTTTACTAAATTATATAAATTTAAATTGTATTTGTAATTTGTAAACTTATAGAGAGGATCATCTAAAAATGATTACAACTTTTATGCACATCAACTCTAATTTCGTTTTCTACAACGTTTAGATGATTTGTAGGAAGTAGCATTTTTATGCGTGTGACATTACCAATTGTTATTTTATTTTAAAATATTTTACATACTGATTGAGTATATATTTGGATATGTACATATATAAAGACGTATTCGGTTATGAGTTTGCGGTATTTTATTTATTTTTACAATACTCGTCTCGTAAGCGTATAATGACATGTTGACCCAGTTCTGCACTCAAGTTAAAACTTAAAGATGACCTTCCCACTATTTGTTACCTATTACGGCTGCCCCTCTCCAACGAGTATGCGATCAACTAACAAATTGCTGAGCTCATGCGGGACCCATACAATTTTTTGTGTTTTAGTTATTGAAAAACTTTATTTTTTAAGTTTTTGCTTAGTGCGGAATATTTTTCTTTAATTAAATTTAATTGTTTTAATAATTAAGCAAATTTAGCAAAAGTTTTGCAATGATATAAATTTTCTTGAAATTGAGTAAAATGCCAAAGTTTGCTACTTCTCATATATGAACTTTTACAAAATTTTTTACAAAAATTAGATTTTTTAATTTTGTCCAGTGTTCAGTGTTTAGCGTTCAGCATTCAGTGTATGGATTGCCTTTTTGGGTTACATTATCAAATTTGTTTATATATGGAAAATTGTATTTTTTGCAATATAATTTTTAATATAATACCTTTTATGGTAATCAGAAGTATTTTGGCTTAGACGACAAGTACAACTTTTTAGCAAGTCAATGTTTCAAGCTGAAATAATTGCTGCGCTGTAATCGCAGTCGATGTATGTAGTTATGCTCACAAAAATCGCTGTCTACTATCCTCAACCTGAGCAATATAACTGCTACGAGTATGCGTTGCTTTTGTTGTTTATATGTACATATTTAATTATTTTTAATTTCATCAATTGGATTAATGACCTTCCTACAACATACTTAAATAGAATTTTTACTTTTAATTTCTTTTCATTGCCAAAGTGTAAATTTATTTACTATTTTTATGGCATTGTGGCATTATGGCATTATGGCATTATGGCAACACTCAATATGGTGAACAATCTAAAAGGAAATCATAGTTCGTCATATAATAAAGTGTGCCTTCGTTAAAATCTCTATGATTTATAGGGTTAGAAAACCAATTGTATCCCTTCTCTGTATGTAGTGTTGAATACCTAAATATTATATTACCTTTTATAGCATCCTGTAAGAATTGGAAATTTAATATATTGAATTTATACCCGGTTTTATTTCACTTAGTTGTAATATGTATTATGTGGTATGCACTATATAAGATTAAGGAACTATGGCGTAACGGTCCTATTTTCTATTCATTTTACTTAGTAATTTTATAATATACCTTTAGTAATGCATCAAATATGAAAGCATATACATATGTCATGGATATGTGTTTCATGAAATATAATACATACATGGCAAACTGATATTACATAAAAATGCATCATAATTAAAATATATCATAATGTATTTTTAAAAACTTCCTTATAATAATTCGCAAACCCTACTTTAAGTTTGTTTTCATTAGGTACATGCGCCACATTTACATATTTTTATTTTATAAAAGTACGTACATACATATAGGTATGTACTACATACCTATATGTATGTTGATAAAACTATTTGTGATTATTATTCAGCATGCATAATTGCGCAATTATATACACAAATAATTGATTTGTATTACAAAAATAATTGTAACTTCATAAATTGACTTTTATTCTTTATCGATTTGAACGTTTGTGCTTCTCGTATGTGGTGTTTATTTGCATTTGTTTGTTCAAGTGTATTTCGTGGCAGTCTCTTATCTCCATAGCTCCGTAGTTTTTGCTCAAATTACCTATAACTGTCAACTTGAAAATAATATTTTTTATAATATTTATAAATTTTTTAGAGTCACGTCATTTAACAAAACAAGCATTGCTTACTCATAATTCTTATCGACTATTCTTTAATATTATTTCGCAGCATTTAATGAATTTCCTAGAAGGCATATGCCGCCGATCAACTCATACAAATTATATTTCTATTTTAGTGATTGCATTTTTTTGATAAGACAAATGCGCCCAAAATACATCCCATTTCTTTTTTACTTCTCGCAATTTTTTTATATGTACTCTAAATGAACTAATAACTCAGATGAAAACATTTAAACAATATAACAATATAGATATAGGTTAGCATTTCACTGTAAGCACACAGTGGCTGTGGCATCATACAAAATCTTTAATCCCAACATTTTAAAATTTTTTAATTTTTGTTATACTTTTTGTTATACTTTCTGTTTGAGCACTTTTTTGATATTAGTTGCCTCTCAACTATACTGTTAACTATCTTTATCTCTTTTTCACTCTAACTACATTCAGTGCAAAGTTCGATTTTGTACATTATTAAATGAACTGAGTTGTTAAATAAGGCGAGGCTCTCCTAACTCTCATGTTTGAGTTACATTTGATACAAACAGCTTGTTAACGTAATCGTAATCGGTGCCGCTTGTAACGAATTTAAAAATTTTAATTTAATTTTACGGTTCGCTCAGTGCTGTTGGGAATAGTTTAAGACGTGTTGAAGTTGGAAGAAGAATTTGTGTTTGGATTTGCTAAAATAGTTAAAATTTTTGTTTTACTTGGGTGTTGTGAAGTATTTGTAAAATTTTGTTTTAAAGAATCAATTACACATTCTTTCATTAAAAATAAAGTGCTTTAAATATCTTAAGCCACCACCTTGCGTTCGTTAAGCAGAAAAACCGGTGGTTTCTTTCACATTCGTATTTTCCGCACTTCGT